CGTCTAGAAACCTGTTCATTTGTGATAATAAAGGACTTTTTTGGCTTTATATACTTTGGTTGCCATATTCCTTTCTTTCACTTTATATTTTATTCTATGTTATTTTATTTTAAATATCCTGACCAGACTACATTTGTTTTCATCGCCTAAAAGAAGCACAAAGAATCTTTAGGTGGGGATTATACCACCCATACGCTATTCATCAAGCAGTGAACCTGCTCAATTTACTGTGAGTATATTTCATATTTTTATCTTTTTATTTTCAAAAGATACAGTGAGCCCTATATTTTATTTCCTTTATTCTGGGTTGGACCACTCTGCTGTTTGACTACCGTACTGTCATATACATCTAATAATCAGAAGTACTCCATATATCCTTGAGTGGGGATCATTCCACTTCACGCATTCCACACCAGAGCTGGATTTTAGCTCTGGATATTGTGAGTAGTTCCTTATTATTATAATCCAAATATTTAAGTGCATCTATATACTGTACAATTGGAGTCCCTTCTTTGTTTCTTCCCCACATGTTCCATTGGACTACAAGCCTACACTTGTGACCATCCTTTTTATCTGCCGTTCCAGAAGAATGCTGCCTACTGCTGTGGATCCACTATATTGGACTAGTGTTAAATTACTGTATATACTTGAGTAAAGTCGACCCGAATATAAGCCAAGGCACCTAATTTTAGCACAAAAAACTGGGAAAACTTATTGACTCGAGTATAAGCCTAGGGTGGGAAATGCAGCAGCTACTGGAAAATTTCTAAAGAAAATTAGATCCCAATAAAATTACATTAATTGAATATTTATCTACAGTTTGTGTATATAATGAATGCTGTGTGTGTGTGTGTTGGTGTAGTGTGTGTATATAATAAATGCAGAATGTGTGTGTTTGTGTGAATGCAGTGTGTGTTTATATAATGAATGCAGTGTATATTTGTATGAATGCAGTGTGTATATAATGAATGCAGTGTGTGTGTATATAATTCAGAGTGTGTGTTTGTATGAGTGTGTGTATATAATGCAGTGTGTGTGTATATAATGCAGAGTGTGTTTGTGTGAATGCAGAGTGTGTGTGTGTAGTGTAGTGTAGTGTGTGTGTGTAAACTGGGTGGGGAGGAGGGCATTTTTATTATTTTAATATATATTTTTTAATATTATTTTAATATTTTATTATTATTATTTATTTTTCATTTTATTTTTTAGCCCCTCCCCCCGCTTGTTACCTGGCCAGGGAGGGGGGCTATCTCATTCCCTGGTTGTCCAGTGGCATGGGCTGTGCAGGGGGGGGGGGGCAGGGAGCAAGCTGTTACATACCTTTGTAGCAGCTCCGGTCAGCTCTGTTCTCCTCCCGCGTTCAGCTCACAGTGTAAGTCTTGCGGTCTGCGTGCTGCGTGGAGTATTGCCACGGTAACCCGTGGCAACGCTCTGACGGCCACGGGTCTCGCGAGACTTACTCTGTGAGCTGAATGGGGGAGCTGAGCGGAGCTGACCGGAGCTGCTACAAAGGTAAGTAACAGCTTGCTCCCGGCCCCCAACAGGACCGCCGGACTTATAATGAGCCTGGCGGTCCTGGTCTGTATTATGGCAATGTAAGTTGCCATAATACAGATAGTGACTCGAGTATAAGCCGAGGAGGGCTTTTTCAGCACAAAAAATGTGCCGAAAAACTCAGCTTATACTCGAATATATACGGTATTTGGACTATATTTTATTATCTACTTATATAAAGTACTTTTTTAATACCATCCCTTTAAGGCGCACCCTTTTCTTTTTTTTTCGTTATCGTATATTGCCCACGAAACACCCATAAGGTTACACATCCATTAACTGCTAATTAAATTGAAGGATAATGTTTAGATCAAAAAGTTAGCATCCTCCCTGTCCATGATTGTAACCAAAAGATAAAATAGACACCTACGAATTAGAAATTCGATGTTAAAAAGAGCATAGATATAACTAGATAATTGGGTGTGCTTAAAATGGTATCAACACTCTTTGACAGAGCAAAAAGGTATATCCACTAAACTAGCAATTTGACTTAGAAGTGCATACTTAGAAGAGTATAGTAATTAGATGAGGCATATATGTTAAGAAGCTTAGAGCAAATTATTTAAAATAGATACTTGAAAAAGTAATAGCCACAATGGCTCAGAACTTGTGAAAAAACATTTAGAAGTATTTAATTAGAGATTCAATTTACATATAAGAAAGTATGAGCCCATAGCATGATAATCAGTCCAATTCTTATCACTTCTAAGTTCCTATAAAGTAGGAGGATGAACAAAGGATAGTATAATGAAGAGGAGGCTAGATTTAAGATAGCTTGAAGTAGTAATATGCTTACACGCACTCTGAATATACTAAAATCTAGTTGCCTATAATCTAGGTTCACTGTCTATTATAGCTATCCTACTGTCCTATTCACCTCAATCACTATGCTTAGTGCACTTAAAGGACCACTATAGGCACCCAGACTTCAGCTCAATGAAGTGGTCTGGGTGCCAGGTCCCTCTAGTTTTAACCCTGCAGCTGAAAACATAACAGTTTCAGAGATACTGCTATGTTTACACTAGGGTTAATCCAGCCTCTAGTGGCTGTCTCACTGACAGCCGCTAGAGGCGCTTTTGCGATTCTCACTGTGAAAATCACAGTGAGAAGATGCTGGATGTCCATAGGCAAGCATTGAGTAATGTTTTCCTATGGGCAGTGTGAATGCACGCACTGGCCAAAGTTAGCCTTCCTATTTGTTTTTGTGTAAAAAATGCAAAAAACAAATATTTGGCCAGTGTTTATGACTAAGTGGCTACTAAAATTAACTGGACATACCCCATCTGCAATACCTCGGATTGTCTACTTTTGCAAATGGTATGCCATCATGGGGGTGATTCTCATTCCTGGGTTACCATACGGTCTCAAAGGCAACATAACCAATCTGGCAAATTTCAATGTGAAAAAAATGAAATGCAAGTGTTATATTTGACTCTATAACTTTCTCTAACTCTCTAAAACACCATAAAACCTGTACATGGGGGGTACTGTTATACTTAGGAGACTTCAGTGAACACAAACATATGTGTTTCAAAACAGTAAAACATATTACAACAATAATATCGTCAGTATATGTGCCGTTCATGTGTGAAAAATGCAAAAAACATCACTTTTACTAAAAATATCATTGTTGTAATACAGGTTACCATTTTGAAACACTAATATTTGTGTTCAGCGAAGTCTGCTGAGTAAAACAGTACCCCCCACATGTACAGGTTTTATGGTGTCTTGGAAAGTTACAAGGTTAAATATAGTGCTTGCGAATTAAATTCTCTGCACTTTCTGCCTGGGTTGTCAGGCACGTCAATCAGATTTTAGTTAATTAAATAACATAATTATGTTAAAAGATTGCTTAAATATACATGTAGAATTTTAATATATATATACATATATATGTATTTAAATTCTATGTGTATACTTCTGTAGTTATTTATGTAATTATATATATTTATCTATATATAAGTATTTGCAGTTATTTGTATTTTATATATAGATAGATATATATATAGAATGTCATTCTAAGTGTATTTTGTTACCAATATACATATATTAATAACAAAATACAGTTAGAATAAAATTATATATGTATATATAATTTATTTAAATTTAAAAAAAATATATTTTATTTATTTATTTTATTATTTTATTTATTATTATAATTATACGTGTATATATAAATATGAAATATATAGATGTAACGTCATTCTAAGTGTATTTTAATACTAATATATGTACTTATATTAATATTAAAATACCCCATGTATGATGTTACATACAGGGAGTGCAGAATTATTAGGCAAATGAGTATTTTGACCACATCATCCTCTTTATGCATGTTGTCTTACTCCAAGCTGTATAGGCTCGAAAGCCTACTACCAATTTTATTAAAGACACGGAGGCTCCTATAATGCATTCTCTTTCTTTATTATACTCCCAGCAGCAAGAAAAGGAAGTATGAGAGAATCATATAAAAAAACATAACAGCTTGGTAACAGTGGCACCAATCAGCATCCAGTATTATCCATATGGGTGTGGTGCTCCTTGACTCCTCCTCTTTCTTGCTGCTCCCTCAGACAAGTTAAGTACCTCATCTCTTGCTACTCCTGTGATTTTCATACATTTATGTGTATTTTGGGTAAAAGATTTTAGCATTGTGTATGTTTATGCTTATTTTATGCTTCACTGTTATTACTGGTTATTTAATACTGGTGTCTGGGAGTGCTGCCTATTAAATAGGGGTCTCTGGGACCCTGAGGTTTTCCCCCTCTCAGTAGTGTTAGACTCTTTCCCCTGCTCGTTTCCGTTTTTGTGTGGGTGCAGCAGGGCTGCCCTTAGCTGCTCTCCTCAGCCGCTCTCTGTTTTGGTTGCGGTCTATTCCGCGGTTTTCTGCCGGTCCGCGCATGCGCAAACGCTCTTTTGCCGGTCTTTCCCCTTTTCCTAACGGCCGCGCATGCGCAGTACGTGCCGCCGCGGCCATCTTTTTGGTTTATGTCGCCGCCTATGCAAATTTGCTCGCGGCGGCCATTTTAAGTATGTTTTCGGTGGGAAATTGCTGCGGACCGTTTCTGTATGTGGATAACGGTTTCTCCTACCCTCCTGGCGCACTCCCAGACCCATCCTGTGCTTATTAACTGTGTTGCTGTCTTTGCTGGTCAAACTGTAAGTGTTGGTGTGGAGGATTACTCTATCCTGACACCCTTTTTGTCCTTAGCCTTAGCTAGTATATTTTTTCCCTACAGGTCATTTCAGTTACCATTAACTACTACTAGTGGCATTACCTTATTGGGCCCTATAATTCTAACTCTGAGTGGACTTGGGTGTTTTATCCCCTGTGAGTTTATATTATTGCTAAAATGCAAGATCAGAATGAAAGACCTGCAGGGTCTGTGTGTCCTACACCAGGGGTTTCCCCCTCAGACAGGGCATGTAAGGATGACGCCAGCCTCATGGCATCGGAGGAATTTCAATCCCTCCTCGATTCTACCATGGCACAATCCATCAACAAGGCGTTAGCCTCCGCGATGGGGGTCATGTCATCCTCTATCACACAATCTGTAACCAAAGCGCTGATACAGTCTCAGAGTTGTGGCCCTCAGAGCACACTAAATCCGGGATCCACTAATGTGGTACAACCGGGACGTAAAGCCTTGACGAAAAGCAAACATATTGCCTCCCCTCCAGAACTGCAGGTTCAGCCTGCAATGACTGACACGCCTCAGGCTGTCAAGGATGGCGCGATACCACCGCGCAATAGAGCCCCTGGCCGGGTAAAATCGGCCAGATCTTGGAAGTGGGCACGTGCCCAAGAGGACTCGTCCGATTCGGACCGGAGTTTGGAGGAGGAGTATGATGAGTTATGCATGGACCATTATAGTGCGGAATATTCCGATTCAGGGTCCGAGGTGAAATTTCACACTGCGACCCAGAAGGCTACGGCTCAGGGCACTGAGCCTGCCGTATCGGGCGAGGGCGACGATTTACGGGACCCTCTGGGTAACCCGTTGTTTGACCCAGATAACCTCCGTCACCCTCGCTCGGCGGAATGGGAGCCGCCTGAGCACATTGCGAGGTACCTCGCGCTAAGAGTAAGAAAACCTTTATCTAAGGAAGGACGTAACAAGCTACGGGCGGAATGCCCGCGGCCTTTCCTTCCAGACTCAGTGGGAAAAACCCCTGACGTGGATCCCCAATTGGTCCAATTTTTGAATAAGTCGGGTTGGAAACCTAGGAAAGGTTTGGATTTCTCCCTTCGGAACTGCCAGGACAAGTTCCTGGACACTCTGGGGCCCATCACCAAACTTTATGAGTTAGTGGAATCTGCCCAATCTGGTGAGAATGACTTCGATTTCGAAGTAGCGAAAGGCTGGTTGCAGAGGTTAGTCTGCATGGTGGGTAACGCCAATACAGCCATGGCAACCGAACGCCGCAAGGCGATTCTCATGAGAAGAGAGCCCAAACTGGTCAGTATGGCGACCAATGAGCCGGGGCCAGCCGCTAAAGGCTTACTCTTTGGTGAATCCTTTATTAAGGATCTTGGGCTGTACGTTAAAACATTTACAGCAATTGACAAAGCTCAGACTTCTCTAAAAAGAGTATTTGCACCTCGGGTTTTTGGAGGGGCCGGTAGAGGTAGGAGCCGTCTATCCGGCTGTGCATTCCGTGGCTCATTTAGAGCCGGCAGAGGCTCCTTTAATACCCAGAGACCGGTACCAGAACGAACTTATACCCCGTTCTTCCCATCTCGTGGACGCCCCTGGAACTCCCGCGGACCACGGGGGTCTGTCTCAGGCAGACGACCTTATGGTGAGTACCGAGTATCTCCATTTTTCCCATATAAAAGTGGGGGGCAGATTGGCATTGTTTCACCATGCTTGGAAACTTCTAACCGCAGATGTTTGGGTATTAAATACAGTACAGGGGTACCTGATGGAGCTAGTCTCTTACCCTACTCAGGTGCAGTTCCCTCGAGAACTAAACATGGCCAGCGACCACCAGAAGATGATCTCGGCAGAGATTGCAGATTTGGCGTCAAAACACGCTATTCAACAAATCCCATGGGACACAGAAGGGTTTGTAAGCAACCTGTTTCTGGTTCCAAAGAAAGGGGGTGGAGTACGCCCAGTAATAAATCTCCGACCCCTAAATGCGTTTGTCCAATATCACCATTTCAAAATGGAGGGTATTCATTGCCTTCGGGACATCCTACTACCATCAGATTGGATGGTCAAGATAGATTTACGGGATGCTTACCTGACAATCCCTGTCGCGGAAGCGCACCAAAACCTACTGCAGTTTCAGTGGCAAGGAACGAAGTGGAGGTTTGTATGTCTACCGTTTGGTCTGTCCTCTGCTCCATGGTGCTTCACAAAGGTACTAAAGCCGGTGATTGCCTTCCTGCGCACACGAGGGGTCAAGTTAATAATTTACCTGGACGATATCCTTCTCCTGTCTCAATCTCAATCCCAATTACGGGTTCATTTGTCTTGGACAACACACCTTCTCCAGAACTTAGGATTCTTGGTGAATTGGGAGAAATCTGTCCTTCAACCCTCCAGATGCATGGAATTTCTGGGATTTCAAGTGGACTCTGTACAGCAGAGGTTGTGCCTACCCAAAGACAAAATGATTTCGATCAAGAAAGAGATCAGACGACTTATGATTCGTACGACCATTTCCCTCAGACAACTTGCGAGGATCATAGGGCTACTGGCATCGTCCATACAAGCAATCTTCCCGGGCCCGTTACATTATCGTGCCCTACAAAGGCTCAAGGCCTCATATCTGCGCTCCGGACACTCGTACGAAACCTGTGTTACACTGGACGAAGATTCCAGAGAGGAGTTGACATGGTGGCTAGCCCACATGGAGGCGTGGAACGGACGGGCGATATTCGGGTCTACGCCAGATCTGGTCATAGAGTCAGACGCCAGCTTACACGGCTGGGGCGCGCATTGTGGCTCAGTTTCCACCGGTGGCAGATGGTCCAACGAAGAAACATTGTTACACATCAACTGCCTAGAACTGTTAGCGGCATCCTTTGCCATTCGCAGCATGACCCCCACAGGCATCTCATGCTCTATCCTAATCAAGATGGACAACGTTTCGGCGGTGCGTTATATCAACCACCTAGGAGGAACGAAATCGAAAGTTCTGGCACTGATGGCTCGAGATTTTTGGCACTTTTGTCTAAAACACAACATTTCGGTAATAGCGGAATATATCCCAGGACGGGACAATGCACTAGCGGATTGGAATTCTCGATATCTTCGAGACACAGGGGATTGGCATCTCCACCCTATGATCTTCCAACGTCTCTCTCGACTTTGGGGACCTCTCAACATAGATCTCTTCGCGTCTCGGCTGAACACCCAACTTCCTCGGTTCTTCAGTTGGAGACCGGACCCAGATGCGCTGGCGACAGACGCATTCTTACAAGATTGGTCCAAGAGCAGGAATTACGCTTTTCCACCGTTCAGCCTCATCTCTCGGACCCTTGCATACCTTCGATATTCCCAGGGGACTCTAGTGCTGATAACCCCGTTATGGAGGTCACAACCTTGGTTCCCACAGTTATTAGAAATGTCGATAGATTCCCCACGACTCTTGCCGGACATACCCTACCTCCTGACCAATCCAGAGGGAATGAGTCACGAGTTGATCGACCAGGGTCTACTTCGCCTGATGGCATGGTTCCTTTCAGGGGAACATGGAATCTCGAGGATGTTTCGCAGACAACACTCGGTCTCTTGGCAGAGTCTTGGGCACCAGGTACCAGACGTTCCTACGGGTCGGCTTGGAGGAAGTGGACTGATTGGTGCGTGGGACAATCAGTGGATCCCATATCAGCTCCTGTGAAAATAATCTTACAATTCCTGACTCTACTCTTTGAAGAAGGTAAAGCCTTTCGGACTATAAATCTATACAGGTCAGCGATATCAGCGAGACATAGGGGATTGGATGGTACTCCAATAGGTAAACATACCCTCATCTGTCGTTTGCTCAAAGGCATCCGGTTTGCTCGACCCCCGCAGGCTCGGTATTCTTCCTTCTGGGATGTCAATGTGATTTTTCGTTTTCTCGAGTCTTGGCCTTTGAATCATGAACTTTCTCTTAAACAATTATCAACCAAACTGTTGATGTTGTTTTGTTTACTTTCATGTAAACGGGTTGCTGATGTCAGAGCATTGGATTGGCAAGCACGTGCTTTTGTTCCGAACGGAGTTTCCTTCAATATTTCACGAAGGACAAAGTCTGCAACTAAGGAGGTCTTCTACCCGTCGTTTCCAGACAACCCTAATCTGTGCCCAGTGTTATGCCTTAAGGAATACGAGCGCCGCACGAGCTCGCTCCGTCCTGATCAAACTCATCCATTATTCATCTCGTTCAGAGTACCGCACCTACCAGTATCTACTCCTACTTTAGCTTGTTGGATCAAATGGTTATTATCCGTGGCAGGCATAGACACTTCAATTTTCTCCCCACACTCCATTCGCGGGGCAATGGCTTCTAAAGCTTCCATGATAGGTTGTAGATTGGAAGACATCTTACGAGCAGCTGATTGGTCGAATGAGTCTACGTTTCGTAATTTCTACTTTCGACCGGTACAACATATTTCCAGTTTGGTGGTTGCTCAGCTTTAAAATAGCATAATAGGAGCCTCCGTGTCGTTAATAAAATTCCCAGATTTTACTATTAACATGACGTAAAGTCATGATTTTATTAATGACACGGAGGCGAGTATTATTCCCACCCGCCCTACCCAGGGTGGTGTTTAAGTTACAGGTCAATCATGGGACCTTTGGAATGACAAAATACGGTAGGTAAAGTGTCATACACGACACGAAGGTGAGTAAGGTTTGTGATGAATATACTTCTATATACTTATAGGGTTGGAATAACGTAGTGGAAGAGTTGGCTAACTATGGAATAGCAGTCGCAAGTCTCAATATTACCATATATTTCTTCTTTTTTAGCTTGAATACACCTGTGAAAGTTGGCGGTTGAAGCTGTTCCCTGTTGAATTTCCGGTTATGGTTTTGTTTCGGGAATTCGTGTTGTTGGATTATTTTGGAACTTACACTATGGTCTTCGGGATCTACGCAGAAAGAGGAGGAGTCAAGGAGCACCACACCCATATGGATAATACTGGATGCTGATTGGTGCCACTGTTACCAAGCTGTTATGTTTTTTATATGATTCTCTCATACTTCCTTTTCTTGCTGCTGGGAGTATAATAAAGAAAGAGAATGCATAATACTCGCCTCCGTGTCATTAATAAAATCATGACTTTACGTCATGTTAATAGTAAAATCTGGGAATTAAGCATATTAGGTGATGTGCATCTCTGTAATGAGAAGGGGTGTGGTCTAATGACATCAACACCCTATATCAGGTGTGCATAATTATTAGGCAACTTCCTTTCCTTTGGCAAAATGGGTCAAAAGAAGGACTTGACAGGCTCAGAAAAGTCAAAATAGTGAGATATCTTGCAGAGGGATGCAGCACTCTTAAAATTGCAAAGCTTCTGAAGCGTGATCATCGAACAATCAAGCGTTTCATTCAAAATAGTCAACAGGGTCGCAAGAAGCGTGTGGAAAAACCAAGGCGCAAAATAACTGCCTATGAACTGAGAAAAGTCAAGCGTGCAGCTGCCACGATGCCACTTGCTACCAGTTTGGCCATATTTCAGAGCTGCAACATCACTGTAGTGCCCAAAAGCACAAGGTGTGCAATACTCAGAGACATGGCCAAGGTAAGAAAGGCTGAAAGACGACCACCACTGAACAAGACACACAAGCTGAAACGTCAAGACTGGGCTAAGAAATATCTCAAGACTGATTTTTCTAAGGTTTTATGGACTGATGAAATGAGTGAGTCTTGATGGGCCAGATGGATGGGCCCGTGGCTGGATTGGTAAAGGGCAGAGAGCTCCAGTCCGACTCAGACGCCAGCAAGGTGGAGGTGGAGTACTGGTTTGGGCTGGTATCATCAAGATGAGCTTGTGGGGCCTTTTCGGGTTGAGGATGGAGTCAAGCTCAACTCCCAGTCCTACTGCCAGTTCCTGGAAGACACCTTCTTCAAGCAGTGGTACAGGAAGAAGTCTGCATCCTTCAAGAAAACATGATTTTCATGCAGGACAATGCTCCATCACACGCGTCCAAGTACTCCACAGCGTGGCTGGCAAGAAAGGGTATAAAAGAAGAAAAATCTAATGACATGGCCTCCTTGTTCACCTGATCTGAACCCCATTGAGAACCTGTGGTCCATCATCAAATGTGAGATTTACAAGGAGGGAAAACAGTACACCTCTCTGAACAGTGTCTGGGAGGCTGTGGTTGCTGCTGCACGCAATGTTGATGGTGAACAGATCAAAACACTGACAGAATCCATGGATGGCAGGCTTTTGAGTGTCCTTGCAAAGAAAGGTGGCTATATTGGTCACTGATTTGTTTCTGTTTTGTTTTTGAATGTCAGAAATGTATATTTGTGAATGTTGAGATGTTATATTGGTTTCACTGGTAATAATAAATAATTGAAATGGGTATATATTTGTTTTTTGTTAAGTTGCCTAATAATTATGCACAGTAATAGTCACCTGCACACACAGATATCCCCTAACATAGCTATAACTAAAAACAAACTAAAAAACTACTTCCAAAAATATTCAGCTTTGATATTAATGAGTTTTTTGGGTTCATTGAGAACATGGTTGTTGTTCAATAATAAAATTAATCCTCAAAAATACAACTTGCCTAATAATTCTGCACTCCCTGTATATATAAGATGTGTATATATATATATAATATAAATATATTTTATATATACATATATACACATAAATTTTTATTTAAAACATGTTTAATTTTTTTAATACTTACCACCAGCAGGGGGACTGTCTGACATTTCAGACAGCCCCCCTGCTGGCAGATCCACAGCCAGCTATAGGGGGCCATGTGATCGCTCTTTGAGGGGGCCTGATTTGCCATGGGAGGGCTGCCTGGGCTGTCAGGCAGTCCTCCTGAAGAGGATCGCGGCGGAGGTAAGTCCACCGGAGATCCTGGGGCTGGAAGCCGTTACGGCGTACTATGATGCCGCAACGGCTTTAAAGCCCATTTAATGCGGGACGGCATAGAACACCGTAACGGCAATAAGGGGTTAATCAATTCATATCCCTCAATACCCTTCTATTCCCAAACCCAAACTAAATGTGAACAAACAAGTGAATCAGTGCATAGTGCTTAAAAAGAAAGTAAAAAGGATGCCGACGCGCGTTTTGGTGCATAATGCGGCACCTTCGTCTCATCGTCAAGTTGTTAGCCATTGTGGCTATTACTTTTCCAAGTACTTTTTTTCAAATCATTTGCTCTAAGCTTCCTATCATATATGTCTCATCTAATTACTATACTCTTCTATGTATACACTTCTAAGTCAAATTGCTAGTTTAGTGGATATTCCTTTTTTTCTCTATGAGTGTTGATACCATTTTAAGCACACCCAATTATCTAGTTATATCTATGCTCTTTTTAACATCGAATTTCTAATTGCTAGGTGTCTATTTTATCCTTTGGTTACAATCATGGACAGGGAGGATGATAACTTTTTGATCTAAACATTATCCCCCAATTTAATTAGCAGTTAATGGATGTGTAACCTTATGGATGTTTCGTGGGCAATACACAATAAAGCCAGGATGAATCTCTCATAAATGGTTACTTTATACAGCTAATCTGTAACTGTATTTCCATACTGGACTTAATATATAAATTCCATCCAAAAAGTTCACTTTCTAAATACCAGGATTTGAGATCCCCCCTCTCTAGGGATCTCGGGTGATATTTTGTTTTGATATAATGATAATTTGAGAGACATATATTGTGGGATGCTCTGGGGGAAAAAGAAAATGGCAGACAAATAGAGTTTGTTAATGATCTTTAAAAGACAGACAGACTCGGAGAGATACACCTATCAGAAACAGAAATACTTTTTTTGTGATAAAATCTGAAAACATAAAGGTAAAACTAACCTTAATTTCAGTGTTGGGACACGTTCTTCCCCACCTTCTTGGCCATCATGCCAATGCTTTCCTCTTTGAGGTGCAATAAAATGCTTCTCATAAAAGTAGCATTGTTGGACCTAGGATGCATGCATGATAATTACCGCAATCGAATGCTGTTAGAAGCAGTGAAAGTTACACCGTGCGTGTGCACAGTGCACAGTGCGAGTGTTCACAAGTGGCAAGAAAATGAGCTGAATGACAGCTCATCTCACTACTAGAACCTGCCCACCTACCTATTCGAATGCAGGAAATGGAAGGAGGGAGGAGTTGATGGCTATAAGAAGAGGGTTATGAAAAGAGGGAGTAGAGGATTTTACTTGCAGGTGTGCTCACTGCACTCCCTATTAAGTGAAGAAGCTGATTACCGCTATTAATGTCTAATGACGGAAGTAATGTTTGCACAGAAATTACATTAGGCAGTCTAGAACAGAGTTCTGGACTGCCTAAGTGATGTGTGCCTGTGGTGCAACTACACCCCAGAACACAGTCATGGATTTATCTAAATAGACACCATTTCAAGCTGAATTGCTAAATACACAGATTGCTTGCTGAGTGATGTCAATGGAGGACTCTTGAATGTGGTGGAGCTATAGTTTCATTCATAAAAGCAAGGCACTATCAATAAAGATGAGATGTTATCAATTTTGATACTTAAAGACCTACTTTTGGTCCTTCCCTTTCTGCAGTGTTGCTCGTTTTTTGTGCCTCAGCTTGCAAATTCAAAGGATTTCAGCTACGTAGGTTTATAGGAGGCTATATGTTGGAGCATGAGAGCCTAGAGGACGAATACCCTATCTCAAGTCACCCTGTGCCAGGGCTTAGATTTAAAACGGTTCTGTCTTCCTTCTGGGGTCTTTGCATCTTTGCTGCTTGAAGTGAGGTGGCTGCGGGATGCAAGGAAAGGTGAGTTTTACTTATCTGAACCTGTCACTCGTGAACTCTGCCATTGTCAAGCTGCTGGACATCTGCCAGGAGACGACGCCAGTGTTATACTCTTGCGCATGTACAACACTGATGCCTATAGAGCCCCTCTGTTTTGTCAAGCATACAAAAAATACATAAGAAAAAGTACATAAGACTTTGTTGTATGATATCTTTTGACTGGGTTTGAATTTTAGTTAAATTTCAACACAGTCTTGGTTTCATGGCCCTTGCTCATGGCATACTGGTTGTATCTTGGTGGTATCTTTGTCAATGGTTAAGCACAAATGAGATAATTATCTGTGTACATGAACATTTAATAAATCAATAGTTTGATGTCACAGCTAGCCTTTATGGTGTTATAAGCAATGCAAAGTCCAATAGAAGGGGTACATGTTCAGCTCATAGACGTTAAGGAGCTGTCTGCTGGGAATTCCACCGAATTCACCTACAATATACAATCATCTTTACAAGATGGACTTTTGACATTAGATCATTAGTATATCTAGAGTAGATCAAATTAAACCCATTAACCCAAATTCTGGGAAAAAGATCACTAATTTCTCCAATAATAGAACATAATAATTGCAAGAACTGGAAAAGATTAGGTTCCTTTTCATGCTGACCCCTATTCCATCACAGGAGCCAAAAGTCACATTTTTCTCCAGAGACCAAAATAAAACTTAAAACGTATTTAATGGGTAACAAATAAATGCACAATGGTGTAGAAATGCACAGTGCAGACTAATATAGTACCACTCCCAGGATGCACTTCTGATTCATCATAACAAAGATGATTAGATTAACAGACTGGTCTGTTTCCACTTATTATACTGACCGATTTGTTTCTCCCTGGAAGCCAGCCCAAGGAAAAGCTGTCTGAGGACGAAGCTGCTTTCTTTCCTCCTTGTACGTCCTCTCCAAGTACACACACACAGAGAATGCTATGTACTGACATGGGACAAACTGTGGAATATCAGCTAATAACACCCGTCACTTCATGAAGTTTGGATCACACAGTCACAGTGACAGAGCAGCTACATAGTGAACAGACTGGACTGAGGGTAATATTTGGTGGTCCCATTATTCCCAAACTTTACACATTATTCATCCCTGTTTTGGTAAATGATGAAGTTAAATATTGGCTTCTAGAATGTAAGCTCGTTTGAGCAGGGCCTTCAACACTCTTTGTTCCTGTGCGTCTAACTCAAATATTTGTCTGTTAGTCCATCCATTGTACAGCTCTATGGAATTTGTTGGCCCTTTATAAATATTAATGCTTATTAATTGTTCTTGCATAGCAAGACCACTTCATGTTATCTCACATATATATTATTATTATTATAGCCAAATTTGCCACCCTAACTCCTCCCACAGTTTTTAAACTACATAGACAGTAATATACAGAAACGTGTGGATTGTTCCCGATTGGTGTACTATTACTTTGTGGGACGTTTCGCTAAATGGTTCACGAAATATCGTTGTTTTTGTGGTGAAATTGGTCCTATAGGAATGAATGGCAAAATTTTCAAAACTAGAAAAGCTACAATTTCTGGGGAAATTGTGTGAAGTGTTCTTGCCTCCACCAGTAGTCTAGCACATTCAATTGCAACATTGTTGCACAGTTACATTAAACCATACATTTATAAAAACATTAGCAGGTGTTCAAAAGGCCCTGTCTATGACATCACTTGCTGCTGCAGCTTGACACAGGTCAGAATATTTTGGTGGTTGCAATCTTCAAACGGTCGTATCTTAAAAACTATAACTCCTACAGTGAAGAGCTTTATATTGTGAGAATCACAAGACCCAGACCTACGTTTTGATGCATAGTATGTCTCTGAAGTATTAAAATTGAAGGCACAGTCGCAGTTTAGAAATTGCACTTCAAATTTGAGCTTTGCAGAGTGAAGTTTCAATGAAAGTCAATGGACGGCGTTAGTTGCAAACAAATGGTCATATTGTGAAAACTATCAGGACTACGGCTTAGCCGTTGACATGTTTAGTGGCAGCAGGGATAGCTGAACGTTTTGATATAAGATTTGTGTAGGTGGGCCTGAAAATAAGGGAGTGGTGGCAGTTTAGAAATCATGTCCTGATTTTTCAGCTTTTGCCAGCTCCCACTCTAGCTTTGCCATTCATTCCTATGGGACAAATTGCGCCACAAAAACGACGATATTCCGTGAACCATTCGGCGAAACGTTCCACAAAGTAATAGCAATCCGATCGGGAACAATCTGCACGTTTTGGTAAATTTTGTCTATGTAGTGTAAAAACTGTGGGAGGAGTTAGGGTGGCAAATTTATAATAATAAGAATAATAATAACTAGAAAAGTTACAATTTCAGGGGAAATTGTGTGAAGTGTTCTTGCCTCCACCAGTAGTCTACAACTGGAGTGGGCGGAGTAACTGTTATCATTTACATAGCACATTTAATTGCAACGTTGTTGCACAGTTACATTAAACCATACATTTATAAAAACATTAGCAGGTGTTCAAAAGGCCCTGTCTATGACATCACTTGCTGCTGCAGCTTGACACAGGTCAGAGTATTTTGGCGGTTGCCATCTTCAAACGGTCGTATCTTAAAAACTATAACTCCTACAGTGAAGAGCTTTATATTGTGAGAATCACAAGACCCAGACCTACATTTTGATGCATAGTATGTCTCTGAAGTATTAAAATTGAAGGCACAGTCGCAGTTTAGAAATTGCACTTCAAATTTGAGCTTTGCAGAGTGAAGTTTCAATGAAAGTCAATGGACGGCGTTAGTTGCAAACAAATGGTCATATTGTGAAAACTATCAGGACTGCGGCTTAGCCGTTGACATGTTTAGTGGCAGCAGGGATAGCTGAACGTTTTGATATAAGATTTGTGTAGGTGAGCCTGAAAATAAGGGAGTGGTGGCAGTTTAGAAATCATGTCCTGATTTTTCAGCTTTTGCCAGCTCCCACTCTAGCTTTGCCATTCATTCCTATGGGACAAATTTCGCCACAAGAACGACGATATTCCGTGAACCATTCGGCGAAACGTTCCACAAAGTAATAGCAATCCGATCGGGAACAATCTGCACGTTTTGGTAAATTTTTGTCTATGTAGTGTAAAAACTGTGGGAGGAGTTAGGGTGGCAAATTTTGCTATAATAATAATAATAACTAGAAAAGTTACAATTTCAGGGGAAATTGTGTGAAGTGTTCTTGCCTCCACCTGTAGTCTACAACTGGAGTGGGCGGAGTAACTGTTATCATTTACATAGCACATTTAATTGCAACGTTGTTGCACAGTTACATTAAACCATACATTTATAAAAACATTAGCAGGTGTTCAAAAGGCCCTGACATCACTTGCTGCTGCAACTTGACACAGGTCAGAGTATTTTGGCGGTTGCCATCTTCAAGCGGGTATCCAAGAAACTATAACTACCAGTAAATTTTGGTCTATGTAGTGTAAAAACTGTGGGAGGAGTTAGGGTGGCAAATTTTGCTATAATAATAATAATAATAATATATATGTGAGATAACATTAAGTGGTCTTGCTATGCAAGAACACTTAATAATAATAATAATAATAATAATATATATGTGAGATAACATTAAGTGGTCTTGCTATGCAAGAACACTTAACTAGAGTGGGAGCTGACAAAAGCTGAAAAATCAGGACATGATTTCTAAACTGCCACCACTCCCTCATTTTCAAGCCCATCTACACAAATCTTATATCAAAACGTTCAGCTATCCCTGCTGCCACTAAACATGTCCACGGCTAAGCCATAGTCCTGATAGTTTTCACAATATGGCTATTTGTTTGCAACTCACGCCATCCATTGACATTCTTTGAAACTCCACTCTAGCCACCTCAAATGTGAAGGGCAATATCTAAACTGCGACTGTGCCTTCTTTTTTAATATTTCAGAGACATACTATGCATCAAAATGTAGGTCTGGGTCTTGTGATTCTCACAATATAAAGCTCTTTGCTGTAGGATTTATAATACGACCGTTTGAAGATGTCAACCGCCAGTGAAGTAAGCAATTTGGAGCAGTTTGTTTTTAACCACCCTTCTCTGCCCTATTTGAAATCTATTAGTTCCTGTTGGTAGTTGGTGGAATGTTCGAAGGATTTGAAAGATTTGAAAGCTCTTCTCTGCCCTATTTGAAATCTATTAGTTCCTGTTGGCAGTTGGTGGAATGTTCGAGGGGTTTGAAAGATTTGAAAGCTCTTCTCTGCCCTTGCTGTAGAGTGAGTAAACCACACTCCAACCTTTCCACAGTTACTCCAGCCACTCCAACCACACAACAGTTACTCAAGCCACTCCACCTAGTTACTCCGCCCACTCCAGTTGTAGACTACTGGTGGAGGCAAGAACACTTCACACAATTTCCCCAGAAATTGTAGCTTTTCTAGTTATTATTATATTATTATTATCTTTGAAAATGCCATGAAGTGTACGGGCTGCTTCTTGTGATCCAAGAGAATCACTTGCAAGACAGAAAAAAACAGAAAGGGAATCCAATTATGATTTAGGGTTACTGTTTGAATTAGTAGACATCAGGTTTTTTTTTTTACCACTTTTAATACAAGGTACCAGGGCAGACGGATACAATTGGAATCAGAATTAAAATTAGAGAAGAGAGCTTTTGTTGAACTAATATATCATATCATTAGTATATGCATATTGTTTTCATTGGAAGCAATAGAATCTCACTCTTAAAGTGCATTTACATTCATGTTTCCCAATGTTGTTCAGATACCTTCCTGGTATTTTGGGACCCATCTATCCAGCGCTCTTCTTCAAGGCAGGTATTGTCCCCTCTGCCTATTCCAATGCTACTCTCTACTTCCAGGCAGGTTTTGTCTTCTCCTCTGCCTAAGCAGCTGCAGCCCTTCTTCCAGGCAAGTTTTGTCCCCTCTGCCTATGTCTCTACAGCCCTTCTTCCAGGCAGATATTGTCCCCTCTGCCTATCCTGCTGCATCTCTGCTTACAGTGATTGCTATTGCCTTTACAAAGGCACTTGCAGCTCTCAGGCCTAGCTCTCTTCATTCATCCCAGGGATAGAGGGATCGTGCAGCCAGCAAACAAGTCCGAAGACTCTGTCACTGGGATCCCCAAATATCCACACAGTACACCCAGTTCCAAATGAAACTAACATAAAATACTTTAATTTAACTCGGGACTAGGCCATATGTTCATTACACTTAGATTGCTGTGACAACTTCAATAAAATACAAATAACCAAATCATAGACAACATACAGCAACTTATTATAACACAATGATTTATTTATAAAGGGGTGGGGAAGACAATAATTAACAGAAAATATATCTCCTGTCTGCAGAAGTAGCAATATGTAAGTCTACCTATATATGCAAATTAGCAAGCCTTGCTTTTCAGGTAGTGCGTTTAACTTTTGCTAGATCTTTACAACCAACAGGTGGCGCTGTACAGGCTCCACAATCAAATCCACCTAGTTGATTGCAAGCATTAGCAAGACAAGAGAACACCCTAACATTTAACACTAAACAAAGATATAGCACACACCCTGCACCCACAATGGGCACATGGTGACTTAAACATAGGAGTCATAGAGAGATCTAATTGAAGTGTATATCTTATGCTCCCAGTGGTGGTGACTATCATCACAAGGGTCTTGAGATACAATCGGCCAATATTTATAAATAATTCTTCTAACTTTCATTGCTGCTCAACTATAGGTGGTAACCAGCACGGGTGTTGAGTGAAGGGTTTTTATTTATTCTGTTTTCACATTGTTCTGTAATTTAGATCTAATCAGGTCTTGACAATCTATTTTGTATACTTCTTCCTGGATTGATGTAAGATGTTTATAGTTGTAATTAAACTATACAACACTTGTCAAATTGCTATAAGCCCTTAATGACGTCATTTGTTTCAGATGACCAGGTGGGATTCATCCTTGAATGGTAAGCAGGAGATAATACAATCCAATTCTTAAGCATTTTGGAACTAGCCCACACTCAGTTACTTCTGGCATTGGAAGCTGAAAAGGCATTCAATCTCCTTATCTGGAGATATACAACTTCAGTCCTGCAGAGTTTTGGGTTCTCCTTTAGTTTTTTAGCGGGAGACTTGGCCCTGTATTACAAGCCATCAGCAAAAATCATGAACACTGTCTTCCTATCTAATGCCTTCTCTAAACTAATGGCATGTGTCAGGGATACCCCCTCTTACCCCTTATCCTTATTTTAGTGCTGGAACCATGAGTTCATAAAATTAAGACCAACAGACAGAGCACCTCCCCATTTGAATGGAGAGATTATCAACTAATCTTTCTGGGCAATAACCTCACTAAATGCCACACAACCATCCTTAGAGAGAATCATATTAAGCTACTACACACAACAAGAACTCACTTAAACGTGGAACAAATTAGAATTATCTAGACTAGGCCATATTAACTCCATCAAAATTAGGATATTACACATGATTTTGTACCTATTCTGAACCCTCCCTGTACCCACCCTGGCTAACCTCAACCACAAATTCCAACAATTGCTTTCAGCACACATATGGAAATGTAGAGCCCCAGGATGCCGCACAGATCTATGACGCTGACATTTTATCGAGTGGGACTGGGAGTACCTGAAATCAAGACTTATACCGCTGAGGTTATATCCCAGCTGCTATCCATCCTAACCCCTCAGAGACTGCCCTTGTGGCTTACCCTAGAAAACGCCACCATCTGGCACCACCGAGCATAGCAGAAGTGGACAGGATGACTCATTTTTAGCTCAGGGATCATTAAAACATTTTTCTGAGTTACAGAAGGAATTTAATTTGGCACCAAGGACACATTTCAGTTATATCTGGATGAAACACAAACTCCAGTTCAAAAATGTACTTCGGCTCACACATCTAACTCTTCCACAAGATTTGCATGTGGCAGAGCTGTAAATTGAAGCTCTGGCGTATGTGTACTCTCTACTTCTAGACCTCCCCCCCCTAAACTTCCCCTGGCACCCTGACTGAGTACCTCTGCCAATCGATGATTCCTAGCTGTCGCTGAGTACCATAAGCACTGTAGCCCCTTAGCTGCCGAAGCTTGGCTGGGGTCTCGCCATCCCTGGACAAAACTCCTGGATCCAGC